TTTTTTTTTCACTTTTACATTCAAGAATTCAGTGTTCGATAAGACATATGCATTTTACTTTCCCTTAAGTTATTTTCTATTATATATTTTCCTGTTGACTAGTACATAGTATTTACATAACAATAATATAGTAAATAAACAGCATTAGTTGGAAGCATTCGAACAACCATTTCTACTACGAGACATTATTAATAACATATGATAGATATAAAAGCTTGGTCACTGAATTAAATCCACGTCAAAACGTGTGTGACTCAATACTAACCGATAATCTTTCATGAATTTCTTTTTTCATAGTAAATAAATACACTCGACTGTGTACACACTTCTTAATTATCTACCTATAAAAATTTTTACGATCAAAATATAATATACGATGGCGAGCACATCGAATGTCAAGAAATCATCCACTCAACGTAGTTCGCAAAGTTCGAATTACAATGACCATCAATCACAACCACGTCAAATTTTACCAATGTCGCGGCAGTCGACTCAGAGCAGGGCGTATTCACAAGCTCTTCAACCTCAAGTAATTGTTCCGACACAATATGATGATATTACGTCAAATAACGTGCCTTCGTCAAAGGATTTGACGTCGTCAATGCATTACCCTCATATTGAATATGGAAATTATCAAACAAGTTATTTCGGGCCGGTTCACCCTTATTCTACATCCTTCAATAATTCACTACATCTTTATCACCATATGAGACCTTCACAAACGGATCAAACTTTAGCTTCAATATTTTGTTCTGAATGTCTTAATAATATGAATAATATGAGAAGTACTCCGGTTACCACGGAGACGAATATCTTACAATCCATTTGTAAACAATGCAGAGACAAACTTGCGAATCCTAATATTGTCGCTCTGATTCAGCAATCCGTTCGTGCTGTTTCTGGTAACATGACTCATCCCATGACACAATCAGTATCAGTTTCTGCTAGGTCTCATTCTATGTCACACCAGATTAATCGGTCTTCTTTGTCATTAGTGGTTCCAACTCAACATTCCACTTCTTTAGACCAATATACTATGACATCTCATTCTACTGATTCTCAAACTGATTTATCAACTGATTATCAACATATCAGTTACAATAATGGTGTTGTGAATGATGTCTTCTTTTCTGACCCAATGACTAATGATACTATAGAACAGCGTCTCCATTTTGATAGTGATGCTTCTTCTGATACGGACATTTTAACCCCTAATCCTCATTATTCGCCTAATCTTTCTCCTATCGAAATGGACGGTGATAGTTCAATCTGGAATCTTATTTACGAAGATGAATTCGATGATCCAAAAGAAAAAGGTCTTCCATCTCCTATTAATATATCTTCTTCTACGGATTCTGTTCTCTCTTCATCTTTGTCTTTAGCTCCGGCATCGTCTTCCGTTTCTGATGTGATTTCGTCTTCTGCTTTACAATCACAATCGACTATTATTTCATCTGATGAAACGAATTCTTCTTCAAATTCTATGAATACAATCGATCCTTCGCTGATTTCCTCCTCTTCTACTTCGAACAATTTCTCAATTGGTTATGATATTGATAATAATCACGCAAGTGGTAGTACTACCCCTTTGACTGGGACCATCGATCCAAAATTCATCACTGCTATAGATTCTTCGTCCTTCGTTCAGTCAAATAATCGTAATAATAAACCTACTCCCGTCATAATTAATCCAAATTATATTGAATTTGGTGATAATATACCGAGTCCTCCTCTTCAGACTCCAGAGTTAGTAAGCGACAATAGTCTTAAACGAAGAATGTCTTATGTTTCATCTTCGGATGATGATTTATCTGACTCGATGTCTACCGAAAAGCAAGCGGATAAAAAACTTCGTGTAGATGCTCAAAAAGCTATTAAAGTTAATAACAAAAAACGTAATTCTTCGATTGTTGAAAAAGATTGTGAAACCGAAGAAGACTTAAACTTGTCTTCTAATGACAATCTTCAAGGCAATGATGATTATCCGATGTCCGATGATATGATGGTTGATGAAGTCCACGAAGTTCCCGATGCTAGCGATGGCATCACTGACGAATATCAAGATAGTACTGATAATATTTATTCTGACGATACTGACGAGGATGATGACGAAGAGTACCGCCCATCTGTGAGCAATAAAAAAGCTCGTACTGGTAGAAAGAGCTCAAAGTCCCAATCAAAGACAAAATTATTGCCATTAAAGTCCCTTCCTTTAGTAAAGAGTGTGGTGAAGCCTAAATCAGCCCCTAGATCAAAGAGCAAGTCAAAGAATATGTCTAATAAACGGTAATGTTTTTTTTTTTTATTTAATATTTTAAAACATATTAAACATACATATATTTATATGATTATTGATATCTTTATTTAGTAGAAGAAAGCAAACATCAAGATCTTCTTCAAAGAGATCTAGCAAGGCTACTACACCTACCGCTTCGGTCGCTGATAGTCCAGTTCCGACAACTATCGTGTTACCAATCGAGAAACCTCAAGAATCAGAAGTTCTTGAGTTGACCTCTCCTCGTTCTACAAAGTCTCCTACCGTCTTTGAGACTTTAACCAAGTCTGGCATTGATTGGTGTAGATACTGTGGTACTACTGAGGGTGTCAACTGGAGACCTGGTCCTTGGGGAAAGCGAACTTTGTGCAAGTATGTCTTGAAAAAGAAAAATTTTTATTTTATTATCATGAATTTTTATTTAAATAAAATAACATTTATTAACGAATTTTTTATTTGACTTCTAGTAAACATGGTTGTGATTATAAAGGTTACGGATTTGCGTGCAAACTACCACGATTGGACTTGAAAGATTTCATTAACGAGACCATTGAAGAGCGTGAACGTCCAGTATTGCAACTTTGTATGTATTGATCATTTATTAATGATTATGTTTAATGTTTGATAACAATAACAATCTCTAATCAAAATATTATTTAACTAGTTTGCACAATATGCCAGAAACAAGATTCCTTCGTTAATAATGTTCTTGTTCGATGTGAAGGCTGTCCTAAAGCATTTCATCAAAAATGTTATACGTCTTGCATTGATGATGAAATTGTAAATGGTAACGAAGCTTGGTATTGTGATAAAGGATGCCAAGAAAACTTGCGAAGAAAACGAATCGGTAGGTCTTATTATTATTATATTATTATTATTATTATCTGAAATTTTTGAATATGAATTTTAATTTATTTTCCGTCTACTGTAGTTGTTGAACTTCCCCGTAAAAGATTGCCTCTCATGTCCACTCCGAAAGTCCAAGCATCCGCGTCGGTCTCAGATTCAACTTCTGCACTCAATTCCGGCACCGCATCACGTCCTCGAACTTCTCGTAACTCAACTAGAACATAAAAATCGGGACTTTATAGATATTTAGATGGCTAAACTATATTGAACATTATATGGTAAAAATTTTATCTTGGAATTAATTTTATACGGGACACGGTTTATTTTACATGAACAATCATCACGAATATTTCTTTTTTTTTTTCTTTTTTTTTTTTACACAAGAATAATTTACGAGATCGAACAATTATCTCTGCTCTAGTAGCAGGGTGTTACCCCCCGAAATACCTATTTTTACGTCTAACTAGACTTGATATTTATATTATGTTTCTTGCTGTCATGTCTTGAAGACGATGTAATTTTACCCTTTTTTCCAAACATGTCTCTCGTGACTGTTTGTGTATATTAATTTAGACAACGAACAATTTATAACTTATTAAAATATCGGTGGGTAGCAACGAATAACGGTATTGATTACCGTTTTGTAGTATTATATAGAATCCGAACAATAATTATTATTAATAAGTGCTAATTTTTTCGGCACAACTAGTTAGATTTATTATTCTACCTTCCGCTTTTTCTATTTATTTTTCATGTATTATTATAAAATTTTTTTTCCCTACAGTGTGGTTAATTTTTCATTAGACGAATTAAGCCACTTTCAAAAAGGCTCTAGAAAATTTTGGTAATAATAACAAACAAGCACAAACATTTTAGAAGATACGCAATATAGATTTTATACAGATTATTATTATATAGAATTTTTAAATCATGGAACTATGTAAGCTTTTTAAATTTCATTTCATTACACTTAAATTTAGCATATTACGCATTTTTTTATTAATTTCACGCACCACTCTCAATTTCATCACCAACTCAAAACATACGGAATTACGCTTTTTTATATATATATACGAATTAAAGGATGTTTTTATTTTAATGTACATATTTTCTAATTGGGATGTGGGGGTTCGTTTTTTTTTTTTTAGTTTGATGTTAATTATCTTTAATAATTAAAAATAATAGTAATGTTAATAATAATAATTTGTAATGTGTAATAAAAAGAAAAGAATGATAACTTTAAGACATGCGAGACTTTTTTCTATTGACATTTTCATTTGACTCCTTTTGTATGAAATTGCAAATTCATAATTTCAAATGATTTCTGACCAGATAATGATTTCTTTATATAAGTTATATACTGTATAGTGATAAATTTGGATTTATTTTAAAACTAAATAAGAGTCTAATTCCGACAGGATTGACCAGAATTATGGTTAATGCCGGTCAATCTATCGGAAATATCATTAACATTTTTGACGCGTCTCATTTTTTAATTAACAATTTTTGTAGATTATATGCGTTTCTTAAAATGAGGATAAACTTTTTCGGTCTCAATTTCAAACCTTAATATTTATATTATTATTAACAGTTAATTTTTCGTCATTTTTATATTATATAACATATATAATTTTTTTTTTTAATAAAAAAAAAAATAAATATAGGATTGCCCATGCTTACCACAATATTAATGTATTTTAAATGGCAATAATAAATATTTCATTTCGTTTGTTCATTTGCTAATCCACTTTTTATAATATATAAATGTTTTAAATTTCAATGACGAAACAGATGGCTCCATGTGTCAGGTGTCATGATACTGAAAGATATATTATACAAACAGCCAAGCGTGTTCTAATGAGGAACACCATATTGCCTACAAATAGTATATATCAGTTTGTCCTCGCGTAGGTGAAAATTTTCCAGTAATAAATGGCTTCACAAATAGGGTGGTCAGGATAAAATTGGATCATTAATTATTAATGTATTGCCAAATTAAATTTTTACTGCAATTGGTAAGCGTAACTTGCTTTGATAAGTTACCATTGCCTCCGAAAAATCCTTGGCTACCAGCTCGTATTTTGTTTCGTGTCCATAGCATAAAAATAAATGATGATGGGATTATATAATACATAGTCTCATCTTTTTTTTTACCATGAACGTTCCCATTTTTAGATTTCCTGGTTTAATATGGGCCAAATTTAACATTACGTCCAAAATAATTTAGTAACTTCCCGAATGTATAGACATTTTGCTTATTTCATTAATTAGAAGACAACTTATATTAATTTATCATGTGTCTCAACGCTTGGAAATATTGAAAAATAAATGCAGAGTTTATTGGAAAGAGTAATAAAAAAAGTTACATTTAATTTTATTTATTTATTCAAAGCCATAATCTAAACTAGGGCCGGGTGATTATGGGCTAAGGACTAAGAATTATTTGCTACTTAGTTCATTACCGTCCGCTTCGAATCTTTTAAAGACTGATCCATCCTACTCTTGAGCTTTTTTCTTTTGTTCTTCTCTCAACACTTTGGCAAAAATTCCACTGAGAATTCTGGGTTTGGCACTATCGTACAAACGAAAAAACAAAGCGGTTTAAGATTCATTGTATACGAAAGCGCGTTAAAATCTAGTTAAAAATGAATTGATAAGTTAAAAAGGCTTACCCTTCACAGTTTTTCGCTTTCTTTGCCTGTAACATTTTGGTACAGGGAGATAAAATGCTATCTGTAGGAGAACTAAAGCTAATTGTTTCGTAAAGTAGTAATGTTTATAAATAATTTTCATTAAACGATCCTCCTTTTATTTTTCCTTTTTTAATTGTTAAAACTTACTTAAAAGGCTTATTCAGAAAGAAATTACTTTGAGACACTTTAGGTTTTCGAACGTGCATTTCTTGAATTTCCATTACATTCTGACATTCTTCGTTAGAGGCTTCTTGACAATTTTGGACTGAACGAAGTTCATTGTCTTCGGTACCAACGGTAGTTTGATGAGATGCCATTGCTTTTCGTTTCGTTCTCTAAAAGACTTTTCGTTATTGATATAAAGAAAAGTATGAAAAGTTTTTGTTTTTTTTTCTAAACAGACGCGTCTTTTATATTTGTTTATACTCATTTTCACGTGACTGTATATCAGGTTGCAGCCAGAATTAAAGGGTTGAAAATCAGTCGGCCTGCATCACTTTGCTAATGCCGGCCAATTTACTCTAAGATCCTATTCACATAATTTTACTGTAGCCTAAAATTCTCAATATAAATGTGCTAATAAAGCTCTCAATACCCTCGATATAGTGAATTTTTATTTTCTGCTGCGAAGACAAAATTCTGCATGTGATTGAGCTGGTTTTTTTTAAATATACTGTATTCTGCGAGATTCTGTGATAATAAAGCGTTAGTTTAATGATAATTCATGATTTATTGCGCTTAAATTATAAAATGTGCGAATATAATAAAAACTTAACGCAATTGCTTTAAAGAATTACCGAGAGATTTTTGAAAAGCCACGTTCTACACTGCAGCAAGAAACCAGAAGCTAAGTATGGTTTAACCCTCGATATAGTCACGTCAAGGTGACTATTGCTATGCATTTCTCGATATAGTCATACTATGTGATTACAGTCAAACCTCCACTAAGTAAGTTGAATATATTTAGTAAAATGAATGTCCTCTATCGCTATATTTATTAATTCTATATATGTCTTAAGTGGAACAGAATTTAAGAATTTTTAAGGTTAGGGTTGGGATTTTTGGTATAATTATTCCGTTCTAATCTAAATGGATTCCGAACCTATTATGATTCCTTAGTTATATCTGTTATACAGGATAGCAAAAGTCAGCGGATATAACGAACCTCTCTATAAAGAACTTTGGATGTATAAAAAGAGTTACGGTTTCTTAAGAAAACATAGTAATTTTCCATAACGTCCTTTTTTCTTCCAGAACCATCAGTTCGTTATAGAAAGAGTTGCTGTCCGTACTATATATCCAAAAACTCTTTGGACAAAATGGTGATATAACTGAGGTTTTGACCGTATTACTCACTATAGTCACATCAATTTAATATGACTAGAGCAGATTGGGATATTTTTACAGCGAGTGTAATCCAAACCGGCCTGAATTATAGTCAAATTCTACGATTCTCTATTTAGAATTGTGATATTCTGTGGTGATTTCTGTGGCTTTTATTTTAAGAGAAAATCTGGCCCCGATATAGACAGGCATTCATCTTTACATTTCAATATATGCCAAACTCAATATCTTTCCATAGTTAATTTACGAATTGAAAATTTTATTTTAAGTTTCACTTTTTAACTGGGGGGGTTTGATTTTTTCCAAGGTTTCGCCAGGTTTCGCAAAGTTTCGCCTTTCGTCTTCGATTTTAGGCTTCGTTCTTCGTCAGGATTTCGTCTTTCGTCCTTCTCCAGTTTTAAGTTTCACAAAAAAGTTTTCGTCCAACAACTACAGTATGACCGCGTTTAGCCGTTCCTCCTTAGAGGAATTATTGAAAAAACGCTTTTTCTACGCGCCTTCTTTTCAAGTATATGGTGGTAAGTAAATTTTTTTTCTTAAAGTATTTTTATAAAAAGAAAGGTGTTCAAAAGATAAAGCTTAAGGGGTTTGCATATGTTACGTTAAAAGATTGTAATGGTATCATGTTTTTCACCCTTTGATTCAATTTCAAATTCTAAGGTGTTGCGGGATTTTATGATTATGGCCCTCCCGGCTGCGCTCTTCAATCTAATATCATCGATTTATGGCGTAAACATTTCGTGCTAGAAGAGGAAATGCTTGAAATGGATGGTGCAATTATTACACTCGCTGATGTTTTGAAAACATCTGGTCACGTGGATAAATTTAGTGATTGGATGGTTAAAGATGTCAAGACTGGTGACATTTTTCGTGCTGACCATTTAGTTGAAAATGTTTTAGAAACAAGGCTAGATGGTGATAAACAAGCTGGGTTAATGACTGAAAATGATGCAACATCTCAAAAGGATAAAAAGAAAAAAAAGGGTACAGTTCAAGCTGTAAAATTAGATGATGCTACTAAAGCAGAATATGAAGAAATTTTGGCAAAGGCAAATTTTAATTTACAAGCAGATTATAAATGGGAACTGATCTTTTTATATAGACCACTATCTTTAAAATTTTGATCGAAGGTATTTCGACAACCACCTGATGAAATTTGACAAACTTTTTTTTCTGAGTTCATAGAATTCAATTAAAAAAATTCATCGAATTCATCAGGTGGTTGTCAAGATATGGGTGGCTGTCAATAGAAATAAGGCAAATTGACATTTTAAAAAAAATCAATAGCTTAACTTTCACAACCCATATCTCGATGGATTTTGAAGCTATCTTAATGATTTAATAATCAAAAGAAAGCTTACGATCTAGGCTTTCTCTTGAATATTAAATCATCAATATAGCATCAAAATTCACTGAGTTATGAGCTGTGAAAGTTAACGTATTTATTTTTTTAAAAATGTCAATTTGCCTTATTTCTATTGACGGCAGCCCATATCTTCGATCGAAGTCACGAAAAATTTTGCCGCAGCTTACATTTTATAAACGGTTAAAATTTTTCTAAAGGTTTTAAAGGTTTCATCAAGATATCTCGACATCCATCTGATAAAATCCGGCGAACTTTTTTTTATGAATTTACAAAATTTAAATAAAAAAGGTTCATTGAATTCATCAGGTGGTTGCCGAAATATTTTCGATCAAAATTATAAAAATTTTGCCGCGACTTAAATTTTGATAGACGTTAAAAATTTATCAAAGATATTTTGTCCCGAGAAATTCGATAAACTTTTTTTTTATTTGAATTATATGAATTCATGGAATTCAAATAAAGAAAAAAACCTTTCATCGAATTTCATCAGGTGGTTGTTGAGATACCTTTGATCAAAGTTTTAAAAATGAGTCATCTATGTGGGTGTGGAAATATCAGTTCTCTTACAAATATATTATATGATATCCATATTAACTAATGGGATGAATCATACTATTAATGTATTAATAAAATAGATTGATAATTATACTGGTAAAGAGCTTGGAGAAATCATAAGTAAACATAATATCAAAAGTCCTGAAACGGGTAATGATCTAACCGAACCTGTCGAATTTAATTTAATGTTTGAGAGTAGCATTGGGCCCACCGGACATTTGAAAGGGTAATCTAGCTCCCTCTTAATTTTTTTCATATGTTTGTTTAATGTAATTCAAACTTTAATATTTTCATTATTTTAGCTACCTCCGACCGGAAACCGCGCAAGGTCAATTTCTCAACTTTAAGAAATTTCTTGAATTTAATAATGATAAAATGCCATTCGCTTCCGCTTCCATCGGTCGTTCTTTCAGAAACGAAATTAGTCCAAGATCAGGTCTTCTCCGTGTTAGGTGGGAATTATCTCGATTTCATGCTTATCACTTTTGGATTTTTTTGACTAACACATTTAAATTATTTAGAGAATTTACAATGGCTGAAATCGAACATTACGTAGATCCTAATAACAAGAAACATGCTCGTTTCGATGAAGTAAAAGACGTTAAAATTTCTTTGCTTCCACGACATATACAAAGCGAAGGTAAAACAGTACCTATCGAAATGCCTATTGGCGAAGCCGTCGAAAAAGTAATTGTCTACCGGTTTTATAGTTTCTTTTTTTTTTTTTTTTGAAGCTTTAACTTATATATAAATTTATATTATATTTGAAATACAGAAAATTGTTGATAACGAAACTCTGGGTTATTTCCTTGCTCGTACACATTTATTTTTAACTATGCTTGGTATCAAATACGATAGGCTCCGCTTTCGTCAACATATGCCTAATGAGATGGCTCATTATGCTTGTGATTGTTGGGATGCCGAAATTCAAAGTAGCTATGTGTGTTATCTATTCAATATTGTCTATATTATAAATTTCTCTTTGTAATTTTTTTTTTTGACAATTCCATTAGGGATGGATAGAATGTGTCGGTTGTGCTGATCGCTCAGCGTATGATTTGACTGTTCATACAAATCGTACAAAAGAAAAGCTTATCGTAAGAGAGAGCTTGGCTAAGCCGTTGATCTATGAAAAAACTGTCCTGGAAATCAACAAGAAAATCTTTGGTCCTAAGCTGAGGCAAAGTGCAAAAACAGTTGAAGATTATTTAACTAACCTGAATGAAGAACAATTGGAAGCTTTGAAAAAGGAATTGGAAGATGGGTATGAGTAATTCCATATACGTATGATCATAATTTATTGATTTTAATAATTCCTAATATTTATTCATGTGGTTTAGTAAAACCATGGTTTCTTGTGCTGACGGTAATCAATATGAAATATCGAGTGATTTTCTTACTATTCAGAAACAGACCATTACAGAACATGGTACGGGTGTTCACTATTATAATTACTTGTCTTGTTTTTACTTATTGCTTATTGTAACGCTATTGTTTTTTTTCAATTCATGTATCAAGTTAGGGAATATATTCCCAATGTCATAGAACCATCTTTTGGCATTGGTCGGATCCTGTATTCATTAATTGAACATGTATATTGGACCCGCGAAGGTGATGAACAAAGGGCGGTACGTTACTGTACTCTTGACTTCAAAAATCTAGTAGAATCAATGATTTAATTTACAACTACGTTTTTAATAGGTTTTATCATTCCCGCCACGTGTTGCACCTTTCAAATGTTTACTAGTTCCTCTAAGTAATAATCTTGCTTTTTCTAAACTTGTATGCGATCTTTGTAAGTACCACTAATATAATATACTTTCGTATAATAATAATCGTTCAAAATAATAACAATTTATGGGTTTTCTTACTAATCATAATAATGCAAACTACTAATCCCCAAAGCTTCTAAACTTCGTAAGCTTCATATTTCCATTAAGGTTGATGACTCTTCTAATTCAATTGGACGCCGGTATTCTCGTAATGATGAGCTTGGCACACCATTCGCGATCACCATTGATTTTCAATCTGTGCAAGATGGAACTATAACATTACGAGAAAGGGATTCTACTAAACAAATCAGGGAAAAGGTAACACTATCTTTATAATGGGAGGTTATTGGTGGTCTACAGACATTTTATCTCTAAATATGCTTAAATTTCTCTTAGACTGATACTATACTTCAAGTTCTTAAAGATTTGGTTGAAGAAGATGTTACCTGGGAAGAAGTTTTATCGAAATATCCTATATTCGTACAACAAGAGCTTGACTGATAAATGTTTGTAATTAGTAAATAACAGTAAAATTTGTGTTAATACTTTTATTTATGCTGTCAATAAACAGATTTTTTTAAGTAAGATCGGAATGATTTCATAAACAGTCCACTCCCGCAATAGTTACACCCGAAATAATCACAATTTCTTGTGACTATATACAGTATTATATATTATAATATAAAATTAACACTCGCTATAATCACATGATGTGACTATTATTATGTTTCTCTCGCTATAGTCACGTCAAGTTTCTGCAAGGCAGTGTGACTATAGCGGGAGTAGCTGTATATAATATATCCTAATATTAACAAGTACCTCTTAAATTTTCGAAACCAGATTACTTGAGATCCGATGATAATTTTGGCACCATTTGAATTGGGGTCTAGGCACAAAAGCTCTAGTTATTTCACAAAAAAATTTCCACCCCTGTAATATTGGCCAATCGAATTTCAGGATCAGGTGTAACGTAAAAATCAAAGCGAACCCACTTTTTTACAAAAAAACAATTATGAAACAACCTTCTATGGCCTAATTAAAAATGTTTCTTGTGAAATTTTATTAATAAAACAACTTAAACCTATACTCTATGCTGTTTTCACCCTAACTCTAACTATAACATGGCTTTAATTTTATATGCAACTTTTTACTTCTGTACTTAGAAAACAAACTGCATCCTCTTTGAACTACTGGTAGCACCTGTCAAAAATCACTACCTAGCATCATTATTTTATTACCAAATAGCTAATTACTTTGTATTATGTCTTGGAGACCAGCTTTAATTGTTTTTAAAGCTTGGCAAGAAGCTATAGGGGCCTCATCTCAGATTATAATCTTTGCTTTTTTGATTTGTTTCACTTTTTTATTATTAACAGATATAAGTAGTTGAGAGTTTAAGTCTAATTCCAATAGTAATTTAAATCAACTATATACAGTTGTTGCTTTTGGTAAAAGATTTGCAGCTATATTAGTTTAGGCTACAGTAAGTATTTCAATTTCAAGTCCATTCATAATATAATAGTATTTGGTATAAGTAAGTTTTTCTTATTTTACCAAGACTATCTACAAAAAAGTATTTATTATCATCTTGTCTATTAGCTGCTGCTATAATTTAATTAGCTATAATTCGTTGGACATCATATATTTTTCTACCAATTTCATATTCTTGGCTTTTATCAGTTTGTTTTTCATTACTAATTATATTAGTAATTAGTGATAATGATATATTAAAATTTTTTTTAAGAGATTTTTAAAATTGTGCTAATTTTTGATTAATAGTTTGATAAGCCAAAGATAAAGCAACTTTAGTACTATTATAATGAATAAAATCTTTACAATGATGTTCTTTATATTGATTTCAAAGTTGTTGAGGATTATTAATATTACTCCAAATTAGTACTAATGCAAATAGTTGTCTTAATTTCTTTGGCATTTGCTATTGGGCTGCCTCATCCATATATTTAATTTATTCATTATTATTATCCAGTAATTCTCTTGCCAAAGCTGCTTTATGAAAAAATATATACTCATGATCTTAAATAGTTTTAAGTTCTTGAAACCTTTTAAAACCAGGTGTATATAAAAGTAAAAGTCTAAGAGAGAATTGTTTTATATCTAATAATAAAACAGTATATATTTTACCAATAATCTTCTCTGTATACTGTATTTATTTTTTCTATAATTTAGTTTTTGTATCAAAGGTATAAAATAATGAAATATTATAATATATAATTTTTCTAGCATCAGTATCTTGTTTATTTAATTTAAACTATGCAGTTAATATTGTATTTTAAGCTTGTAAAGAATTAAGAGCCTCAGCCTTATTTCTATTATTGAAATAAATAGTTTGGTTTTCTGGCAAATATACAAGTAATCAAATTACAGTGTGGAATTTTTCTTGCATTTTATATTTACTTAATCTCCAGAAAGCCTCAGGTATATTAACATATTGTGAATCTATAAATGTTGAAATTTCATCATAATTAAGTACTTGTATATTGCTTCTTTCAATATTTTTTAACTGCAACTTTGCACAACCATAGCTCTTAATAATATACTTATATAAATATTTAAAGCTTTTTACTAAGTAACAAATTTCAACATTTATATGAGCTTGATATTTTAATAACAAATATGGATTATGTGATATAATCCAACAATTATTTATTTCAGTTTGTCCAACCATTATTGATCTCCTAGTATCTCTTTAACAATACTTCAGATATCTATTATTATTTGAAATGGTTTCTTGACAATACTCTTTTGAGTAATCTTTAGTATATATAGATTTATCTTCATTTATACATAGTACATTGCGGTTTAGATAACTATATGGACTATGAACTATTGTTTTTGCAATGATTTTATATAATTGTGGATAGTGGGTAGAATCTAGTATCTTACAGCTTATTATTTGATCAATAGTATTAGAGTCTCTTGGCTTATATTTATCTAAAAAAATTAACAACATATGACAATGAGGCAATCTATATTTTTAAAACTTAATTACTCTTGTATAAGCAACAACTTTTTTCATACAAAAAAGTAAACTCTTTTCAACGATCACTTGTATCAAATTTTCCCACCGAACAAAAACAAAAATTTCGTTGGAAAAGATAAAGACACTATGTGGCGGTTCTTGTAAAGGTCAACCTTCTGCTCGGGGACTCCTCTATATATTCGGCATGCAAACCAAAAGTGTTGGTATACAAGATAATTGGCAGAGATGTTGCCCTTGTATACAAAATTTTGGAGATATCAGTGCTCTAATAGAAGTGAGGCTATATCATCGACGAAGTCAAGCATAGGCAATATAATAGAAGAGAAACAATGAATGAGTTTTTTCTACACACTCTCTTGAAAATTTGAAGCCAAGTGACTCCTATTATACCTTTCTCCGCTCTCACGCCTTTCTTCCAAGATTTTTTGATAAAAAGTGGGGATCTGGCTTACCCCCTCCAAAAGATCAGCATTGTTTACACTTACCTAATTCGGACAACTTAGTAGAATGCAACCATGTGTTTGTTTTGTTTATCAATATGGTGCTACGATATGAGGAAGAGATTGCCACCTCCATTTAGAAGATATCCGATTTAAGTCAGTGTCCAGAACGAGTCCCAAAGTTAAACTTAAGATTTATAATCGAGATATAGTAATTAGTTGCAATTATTATATAATTTTTATCTTTATGCCTGGCATGGGCTATAATAGTGTGTCATAGCTACCTTTCTTTTTTTTCGCTTTTTTTATCTTTGTTCATTTATGTTAGACTTTTTTTAGAATTTGTTGAAAGTTTTTTTTTCCCACTGTAAGGTGTTTTTTTTTTCTAAAATATTTATGTCTTTTATAAACATGGCTTTATTTTTTTTACTTTTATATATAAATAAGGGTTTAATTATGTTGTCAGGCTTAGGTGGAAGAGGTTTAAAAGAAGAGAGAGGTGGTCATGACGGGTGGCAAGATCCACTGTTGAGAGCTGAGTCAATTCAATTGCAGGAGGGGTCCGGAAGAAGAAAAATCTTGCTATAGCAGGTCGAACATAGGTACCAAGTTGGTAATCGGGTTAGTTGTAACTTGTAATTTAGATGGCACTAGGTGGAATAGATAAGGTACTTGTTGTTTAGAGATAGTTCTCATATGCTAACTTGTTTAGAGTTTATTACTCACCGGATCCTATCGTAAATCCTAGTTGCAAAATTTTACATATTCTAGATAAGTTGTACAAAGCCTAATAAAGTTATAGCATAACTGCCAAATCCTAAAAAAAATAAAATAAAAAAAAAATAAGCAACAACTTTTTCTAAAATTTTATTTTTTAATAAATTCTCCATTAGTATATCAAGCTTAAGTTTAAATACTTTGCCAACAATATCTGGTCTGTTAGTAGCAATTTGACCAGGATATAGTGATTGAGTAATTTCTTTCCAGGATGGATTATATCTAATTGTTAAAAAAATATCAAGTTTGCCAAATATTCTGCATATTGCCATTGCATCCTGATAATTTTGTTGTATTGCTCATGGGCTACCTGGGAAGCTTGATGTTATAACAATAGTATACCCTACTATAGCATTTCTTTTCTCAGTAGCAACAGATAAATAATCTGCTATTTCACAATATATTCTAGCTTATAGTGTTTTCTGATTCTGTTATTGATAATTTAATCTTGTTGCCTTAACTTTTATATATGCATCAACTAAATATTGCTAGAAAAAAGCACTAGTATATAAAATTAAATTAAAGCTATTTCTTTGTACTATTCAATAACAATAAAACTAAAGCATTGAGATATTTTTTATTTTTTTTCGATTTTGCTAATTGTTGGATATCTTCAGATGCCAGCTTTTATTACCTTCTGAAAACAATAGTAAATATGATATTGGATCACAATTTGCATTAATCACTGGAATTGTCTTTATCAGAAAAAATTTTTTAGTGCTGTTCTGCACAGATTTGCAAAAAAATTAAATAATAAATTAAATAGAAATCTGTGCAAAACTTCAGACTCACTAGCTATAGCTACAGAAATTAAAATACAGTTCTGTGCAAAATTTCAAAATATAAAAAATTTTGCAGTTTTTTGCAAATAATTCTGCAAAAATTTGCATTTTCGCATGTTTTTGCAAATTTGCACTTATTTAATTCTCCCAATGTTAAGCTAATTACTTCATGAATATATAGCAAGACAATGAGAAAAAAAATCATAGTTTCCAGAACCAACAAATACAGTAGCAACTTTATTAATATGTGGTGCATTGTAATAGCGCTGATCAAGTCAACGATTATTTTCAAAAACTATCTGAATTTCTATTGGTTGGCATAAGGCCCTGAAATATATATAGAGGGGTAAGGTTTTACAAAAATTACTAAATTTAGAAAGATCTGCAGAAAAAAGTTAAAAATAAGCAAACTAATTACTATAAATAGAAATAATCTGCACAAAAAGGATCAAAAATAAGCAAACTAAAACCTTACCCCTACATATATATTTCAGAGTTTTGTTGGCATCCTTGATTTATCACTATATTATGTTCTTCTTGCTATAATTCTTTTATTATTTGAAATGCTTGAGCAAAGGGACTTACTTGTTGTAGTACTGTATCTAAAAATAATAATAGTACAGGGTTAAGATTTATATTAATAGAGTTATTGTTTTGTTGCATTTGTACATTAGCTGTTTTCATAAAATAAAATTGTTTAAAGCTTAAAACTTCATTTGCACTTGGCTATGCTGGTCCAAGAAAGTAATATATTTGTCTTAATATTTTATATATATATGGTTCATAACTAAAAAGCTTTTCAATATTTGATACAATAGAGACAAATACCAAAGCTCTATTATATTTGCAAATGTGTTCATAAAATGGTTTAAATAGTAGATATTTTCCAAAAAAAAGTAATTTTAGCTCATTAGAAAATGGTAATCAAGATGGTAATGCTACAGTGTCTTTATAACAACAGAATATAAATTGGTTTAAATCTTTGGCAGTTTGCTCTTCTTGAAAATGAAATGCTCTACAATAACAGCATTCAATATCCATTCTACCAATATCTACTTTAAAAGGAAAATCTCTAGTAAAACCAAGAGCTTTATGATATGAAGATGGTGTACAATTTTTATTTCTTGATAAACGTTTTTTAATCTTATTTTGTTCTTATATATGCTGCTGTTGTGCTTTTCTTCTACATTTTGCTGCAGTTTTCAGAGCTTTTACCAACTCTGTATCAGATTCTTATCTTTCGCATCATTTATAGTGTACTTGTGTAGCTTTTCTTTCATTCATTTTATTATATAAGCAAGCTATGTTCTAATATGAATCTGTATTTATAAAAAAAATTAATACATCAGAGTATATTAATTTTATTTATTATTATATATAAAATTAGCTTTAAGTCAAAGTTTAAATAATGAAAATTAAATTTTAGAATCATCTTTCCGATGATCACTTGAACCATATTTTCTGAATACATTTTTTGCAAAAAGAGATCTTACAAGCTAGTACTTGACATACTAGACAATAAGTCAGTACTTGTCATTTAGAAGTAGTTCTCATATGCTACTTGCTGACAGGTTTAGAGTTTATCACTCACTGCATAGTCTCAGCACTTGTTATTTAGAGATAGTTATCATACGCTACCTGCTGACAAGCCCAGAGTTTATCATTCACTAAAAAAATATTAAGCAGGTATTAGGCGGTGGGTTTTGACTATAGAAAAGAAAACTCACACTCCTTTAAATTGGTTTGAAGCTCAAGTAGTCATTCTTTACCTCTTGTCATTTTTCCATTAGTCTTCAAAATTTTTTCATAAAAAGTGAGGATTTGGCTTACCCTCTCCAAAAGATTAGCATTGTTTACTTACCAAATCCAGATAAACTGGTAGATAGCAACTACATGTTTGGAGACGAATACGTTGCATGGGCCCTGGAACAGGTCCTGGTCAAAAAAGGAATCCCTGGTGGCGGCACCAAGTGGCTTAAGACATGAATATCTGAGTAATGGCATTTTTATGGAAATATCACGATCTTTGTTGTCGTTGGTGTCGTATATAGAGAGTTAGATCCTAGTATAGCAGCAGCACTTGGTTTGAAATATAGACTAGGTTATTAAAAAGATTCAGAAATGGGTTAGAGGGAATTTTAATATTAAGTTTAGTTTTATAACAGAGATATACAAATGTTGCATCTAGTATATAATTTTTAAATTATCTAGCACAGGTTATAATAGTGTATTCGAATCATTTAATTTTTTTTTTTTTCTGCTTGTTTCATCTATTTTCTTTTATATTAGAATTGGTTTAGATTCCTTCTTTCTTTTTTTCTTGTTGTTTCATTTTCTCTTTTGAGTTCTGTTTTCTTTTATAGAACAATTTCCATTTTTTCGGTTATGAGAGAGCTTTTAGAGATTTTCTTTGAATATACTTTCATTCATAATGTTGGCATATATGTTAGTCTTATATAAAAGTAGAAGGTAATATGTATAATCTGCTAAAATTTAAGTGGATTGAGTTTGGAAAGATATTACCAAAATTTAAGATGAGATAAGCTTGAAAGAAGGGATTGGCTCTTAAAAGAAGTTTTTTTTTTGTAAATTGGTATATATGTTTGCACTAGGCAGAAGTAGAAGAAAATATATTCTGTATGAATATTGGTGAAATAAGTCTAGAAGGAAGGTAAAATGTAATTGGTTCGAACATAGGTAGCTGAGTACCAAGCTATAACAGGTTTTTAAATACGGGTATTACTATATGTAGAGCTTGTTAGCAATATCAATACGATAACTATACTTGGGCACTTTTATAGCAGCCGGGTATTTGTCTAATCTGTAAATTAGATAGTTAATTTTAATTTTGTAAATTGCTAAAATTTTAATAAATTAGTGCGAGGTTATCAAATGAAAAAAAAAAATAATAAAAATTAATATTATGAATTTATATATATTATAATTTCATAAGAGTTGATTAGTCTATACATTAGTACTCTTTCTGATGATCACTTGGACCAAATTTTCTGATGAAAAAAAAGCCTATTTTTAATACTAGAGAGTAGTAACGTGAATCAACAGGGCGGTTTTTATAAAAGTTAACCTTTTTGCTATCTCAGAAACTCCTTTATATATTTGATATACAAGCCAAAAGCATCTGTATACAAGATAACTGGCAGAAGATAGTGCCCTTGTATATGAAATTTTGGTAGATAGATGGAGATAATAGAAGTTCAAGCCTTCTGTTTATGAAGCTATCAGTTGCGAAACAACTGGGGAACAGTAAAGAATGTGCTTCTTTTAAGCTGCACTTCTTTTTTCTAGCCAAGTGGTGCCTACTATCTTTTTTTTTGCTTTTTTGTCTTTCTTTTAAAATTTTTCGACAAAAAGTGGGGATTTGGCTTACCCCTTTCAAAAGATCGGCATTGTTTACTTCCCAAATTTGGACGGACTACATCAGCAAAAAAAATAGACCGATATATATTGATTACTAGCCGGATAATTATATATCGATACCAATCACCCCTGCCGATTACACATGATCGTGATAGTAATCGATATATAGCAAATTCGTTTATTAGAGGTAATACTAAATATTGCTATATATCCGATTCGATTAATAGCGATATTTGATAATATTCGATTATAATCATGCTACT